TCGGTCCTACCTCCGGACCGAGATGTGCGTCATGAGATCGACCTGGTTCCGGGAACCAAATTCTGCGTAACACGCCAATGGCCCCTGCCCAAGAAGCAGTCTGACGTCATTGACACCTTCTTCCGTGCAAAGCACGACGCAGGAATGGTGCGTGAGAGCAAGTCTTCCCATTCGACACCCACGCTTTGTGTCCGGAAGCCGAACGGCAAGTGGCGTATCGTTCACGCTTACAATAAGCTCAACGCTGCCACCATTCCGGCACAGATGGTGATTCCTAAAAGGAGGCTCTCCAGAACAACATGGCTGGCTGTACAAAGTACAATGCACTCCACTTGGTCGATGGGTATTACCAATTGCTCATTAGACCGAGAGATATTTCGCTGACAGCGGTGAGTACTCCGAGCGACATGCTCTGAGAGTGGCTGGTGATGCACCAAGGGCTGTCGAATACACCAGCAACATTCAATTGTCTTCTGACGCAGCTGTTCAGGCCCCACCGGGCGTATGCATAGACATACTTTATCTTCGTCCTCCGTCGTGCGGGGCATTGGAGGACAGATGAGGAAATGCACATCGTCCATTTGAATGCGGTGCTCGAGTGCATGCGTACGAATAAGCCGTATAGTAACGCATGTAAGTGCATCTTCGGCGCTGAGAAATTTCCCTTGTTAGGGTGCTTCATTGGGAAGTGTGGCCTTCGAGCAAATCCCGCTAAGGTCAATGCCACTGTGGACTGACCGGTTTCAAAGCACCAAAAGGACTTGCGCAAGTGGCTTGGCCTCGCCAACTACTTGCACAAATATAACGCGAATTATGCGAATTTGGTCGAGTTTCGTCAAGAAGGATACGGAATGGTGCTGGGACACCGAGCATCGGTAGACTTTTGATCTAAGACAGTCTTCTTCATGCACCAATACTGACGCTGCCAGACCCCGATCGTTCTTTTGGTGTCGTCTGTGATACTTCGGGCATTGCCGTCGGCTGAGCTCTGCTGCAAGAAGACACCGAAAGACGAGATCGGGCGATCGCGTTCGAATCTGGTCAGCTTAAGGCTGCGGAGAAGAAGTACCTAGTGAATTACTTGCGATGAAGTATGAAATTGTCAAGCTCAGGGTGCACCTGCTCGGCT